ACCCACACCCACACCCTCCCACACCCACACCCACACCCTCAATATTGGTCAATAACGACATCTCAGAAGTTTCGACATATTACATGATCGACGTTTTTTTTTTCGATTTTTTTTCGTTCGACGTTTATTTTTCAATCTTTTTTCTCGACGTTCTTTCCTTCGACATTTTTTCTTTCGGTGTTTTCATAGTAAATCCCCACCCCACCCCACACCCACACTCCACCCATACCCACACTCACCCACACCCACACGCACACCACACACACACCCGCACCCACACCCACACCCGCACCCACACTCACACCCACCCACAGCCACACCCGCACCCTCATGATTTATTTTGCTAACACTTGAAAAGTCCAGGGTTTGAGTTAGAAGTTTTGATATGATAACACCACTTACGATACAGCAAATAATAAAACAAAAAATAAATATTAACTGAGAGTAAAAGTGCTGTTCTCTTTAATCTTTTTTTAAGAATTTTTGATTACATTATAGACATTCTCTCATGCGAAATTCAAACTTTAGTTATAAGTACTATTGTTTATTTTTTATTTTTTTGTGCTATTTGATAGACTGTATGAAACTGCATTTGTGGTAAAAATTTCACTTTTCAATTCAAAGTCATTGTCAAGTTATAGGTAAGACAATCTTTCTGATTGAATACAAAATAAGTGTATAACCGAGTAGTTCTTAATGATATACACTACATGTTAACAAAGCAATTGTTTGAGATGATTTTATTTTTTTTTTCTAGAGAATATTTCGTTGTTTGTGCGGTAAAATTTTAGTAATTATTCATTCAACTATAGATGAGATATCAATCATAACATAACAGAAGAATCAATATTTATTAAAAAATAATTCTTGTTCTAAAGTATTGATTTTTTTTTGCGAAAACTAAAAATGTCCAAGGAATGGTTTAGTGATCTCACATTCTCACCTTAGTCCCAACAAAAAAATAATTAAAAGGAAAAAACCTAGCGGTGGAGTAGAGCCCATGGAAGAAACGTCACTTCCTTTCACTTGTCGATTGTACATCATTACATTTCATCAACAAAAATTTTTTTTCGGAGGCAATACAATATGCATACATTCGATACGTTATGAAAAAACCAAAGTAGTCACTTCCTATCTCTAATTGACATCAAAACGAAAAAATACTCATAGGGGAATATTTGTCCTGTATCTCTCAACGCACCTATAGCTCCCCTGTCATCATGAAAGAAAAAGAAAGAAAAAAGTATGTGTGCACAAATTAGTCGAATCAGCGTTTGACTGATAAGCATAGCGGTAGGTAAACTAAAAAACAAGTAGAGAGGAAATGTTTGGTAAAAGACATTGGTTATAAAATAAGCGGAGTATTTCACTAATTAACAATAGACAAGGAAATCAATATTTTTCTTAATATCGACAACTATAATCGAAATTCAGTATACATCATGGACAAACATACACCAACAATATTGGGTAGTATCGTCACTAACGACAACAGCAAACAATCATCCAGTTTTTCAAAAGATGTAGCTGCACATCAACGCACGAATGCACAGATGGTCCAAAATGTTCTGCTGATTTGGTTGGACAATAACATCGACGAAGAAAATGGTGCTGGTTACCGTAATACAGTCATCCGGTTACGACGTATTGTCAACACTATCAAAACATTTACTAATGCTGAACAATGTATCGAATTCATCAACAGCATGAATGACGAAAAGGCCTGTATGATTATTTCTGGTTCACTTGGGCAACATATTGTGCCCCGTATTCACAATATGTTTCAAGTAGACTCTATCTTTATTTTTTGTATCGACAAAAAAAGACATGAACAATGGGCCAAAGAATGGTCGAAAATAAGGGGTGTATTCACAGAAATCTCACCAATCTGTGCAGCGCTAAAACACGCAGTACAGCAATGTGAGCACAACTCCGTTTCCATCAGCTTTATGGCAACAAATGATGATATATCCAGTAAAAAATTGAATGAACTTGACTGCTCATTCATGTACACACAAATTCTTAAAGAAATCTTATTAACAATTAAATTCCAACAAGAACATATCAAACAATTTATCGACTACTGCCGTGATGTATTCGCTGAGAATGAAAACGAACTGATTAACATCAACAAATTGGAAAGAAAATATCGTAATGAAACACCGATTTGGTGGTATACTTATGAATGCTTTTTATATCCTATGCTAAATTGCGCCCTGCGAACAATGAATCTGGACATTATTATTAAAATGGGCTTCTTTATCGCTGATCTCCATCATCACATCGAACAACTGTATTCGAAACAGTTTAATGAGCATCACATCAATAAAAGCTTCACGGTCTACCGTGGACAAGGTATGCACAAAACAGAGTTTGATCAGATGATGAAAGCAAAAGGTGGACTTATGTCCTTTAATAATTTCTTATCTACAAGCAAAAGTCGTGATGTCTCTCTTACTTTCGTTAAAAGGAATCAGAGCAATTCCGATTTGGTGTGTATTCTATTCGTCATAACGATTGATCCTTCGAAATCAACTACTCCCTTCGCTTCAATTAATGGTGTCAGCTGCATCGAAGGAGAGGATGAAGTCCTCTTCTCCATGCACACAGTTTTTCGCATATGTGAAATTAAACCAATAAGTGAAAATAATCAACTTTTCCAGGTGGACTTGATACTCACCAATAACAATGATAAAGATCTGTGTGTGCTTACTGATTGCATTCGTAAAGAGACTCAAGGATCATCAGGGTTGGATCGATTGGGTAAATTGCTACTTAAAATGGGTCAGTTCGAAAAGGCTCAGCAAGTTTATGAAGTTATGCTTAAGCAGACAACTGATGATAGAGAAAAAACATTTATTTACAATGAACTTGGAGGAATCGAAGATAAGAAAGGAGAATATAAAAAAGCAATTCTATTCTATGAAAGATCACTCGAAATCTATAAAAAAACTCTTCCTCCAAATCATTTCAAATTGGCTAACTCCTACCACAGCATCGGCATAGTATATTACAACATGGGCGAGTACTCGAAAGCACTTTCCTATTACGATAAAGCACTTGAAATCAAACAAAAAACTCTTCCTTCAAATCATTCTGATTTGGTTGAATCCTACGACAATATTGGATTGCTGTATTACAACATGGGCGAGTACTCAACAGCACTCTTATATTACGATAAAGCACTTGAAATCAAGCAGAAAACTCTTCCTTCAAATCATCCTGATTTAGCAAAGTCTTACAACAAAATTGGTGGGGTATATTACAACATGGGCGAATTTTCGAGAGTACTTTCATCTTACAAAAAATCACTTGACATCTTCCAAAGAGCTCTACCACCAAATCATCCTACTCTGGGTACGTCCTACAACAACATTGGTATAGTATATTACTACATGGGCGAGTACTCAAACGCACTTTCATTCCATCAAAAAGCACTTGAAATTTTCAAAAAAATTCTTCCTTCGAATCATCCTGATTTGGCTGTAACCTATGGCCATATCGGCAATGTTTATTACAGCGTGGGCGAATTCATTAAAGCACTTTCATTTTTTGAACGTGCTGTAGATGTTGGACAAGGCTCATTATCACCAAATCATCCTCATCTTCAATGGTATAAGAACAGTCTTGAAGATGTAAAAAGAAACTGTAAATAATGTTAGTTTCTTCACAATAAAATAGAGAATTTGAATAAAAAATGTATTTTAACAGATATGCGTGCACATGCAGAGAAACCTCTGTGCTTGTTGAGAGCATAAATGGGTGTTATCCACCGGTAAAGTGAACATTACATGTCGATGTATATGCGTGTGGGTGTCGGTGTCGGGTGTGGGGTGGGTGGGGGTGTGGGTGTAGGTGGGGATGTGGGGTGTGGGTGGGTGTGGGTGTGGGGTGTGGGTGGATGTGGGTGTGGGGTGTCGGGTGCGGGTGGGTGTGGGGTGTAGGTGGATGTGGGTGTGGGGTGTCGGGTGGGGTGTGGGTGGGTGTGGGGTGTAGGTGGATGTGGATGTGGATAGTCTCTTCAAACACTCACACCCACACCCACACCCACACACCCACACCCACACGCCATACCCACATCCACCCACACCCACGCCCACACCCACCCGCACCCACACCCACCCACCCCACACCCACCCCACACCCCACCCACACCCATCCACCCACACCCATACCCACACCCACAGCCACACCCACCCACACCCTGACACCCACACCCATCGCAACTTTACAATTTTCAAATTATGAAATATTGTATGATCTTCCTTTTTATCTTATCTGGGCAAGTTAAAACATTATTGATCTATAGTTTCATATTCTTCGGTCTAAATTCCATTTGAAATACGATATAGCATTTAATCTCAATTCAATTTCTCCTCAAGGTTTCTTTGTATACATATATACATTGATTTTGAATAGAAAAGATTATTGTATGGGAACTTTATTCGATGTATAACACTGGTGTTATTGTGTTTTTCGTCATCCTCATTGGTACTATCTATGGAGCTCCAAAAGCTTCACAATCGATGATCAATACAGATGTTAAGGAGTTGAGGTCATTACTTGAAAAGTTTTGGTCTTTTATGTCAAACACAATCTTAAAAGAAACAAAACCAAAATGTCAAGCCTTGGCGAAATGTTGTTCAAGCAAAGATTATTCAAAGGCACTCTCATTGATGGCCGTGAATTTTTCTATTGATCCATTACCTGTTATGTTTTCTGCATGCCTTGGTTCACTTGATCCTAGTCACCTTGCCAAAACATGTCCATCGGCATTAAAATTCAGTTCTCCGTTAGCATTTGAGCCTGACTCTGACACAGATGATGATAATTCGAATCCATTTATTGCACAACTAAACAAATCTCGTGAACCGATACGAGATATCCTTCAAAATATAGCCCGTGTATGCAAATCAAATGAAGCTTATTCATACATATGTCTGTCGAACAAGAAATTATTACAAACATGCGTCAAGAAAATTCTAGAAAAACAATTGAATACTAATGGAATGAAAAATTATAAAGAATTAACGAATAATTATAAAAATGCATTTAATAGTATCAACATACTTATGGAAATGGTGAAATCAATAGCCAGTATTCAATCATAAATGAATTTCTTTGCTTTTTTTTGGTAGTGTGAAAGAAGTATTTAAAATACAAAAAGATTAAATTGTGTAGTGAGCAGGAAATAAAGAATAATATATATGCTTAATAATAAAACAATATGTTATAGATAGTCTCATTTAAATTCTAAAGATCAGTAATTGAAATTATTATTGTAGTTTCTCCTTACTGAAATCCTAATCTTCTTTCAAAAACATCATGTCTTATCAGCGTTCGCACACTTAGACCAATATTCGAAAAGAAAAGTCTTTAAAAAGGTACAATGCATATCTCTCGATGCTAAGACAATTAAAATGTTTTTAATCGATTAAAACCTGTGTTTTAGACTGGTTCAATGCGATATAGTCATCCAAAATATATTAAATCGTAGAAAAGAAGCAATAGCTTAACATATAAAATTTCTGTGCTCAAATGCGTATAAAAGTAAAAAACCTATTGAAATAAGCAGCAACTAATAGAAACTTCTATATAAGATCTGTTAATTAAAATAAGTTAACATCTTTGGAATGCGGATGTGGTTCTTCATTCCATCCGATTCCACGCTCATGCCAACCCACTCACAGTCTTGATAAAGAATGACAAAAAAAGCTTAAGCTCGGAGAATCCGAATGTGAAGTTAGCTTTTCAAAAACTCAAATAGTTAGTTGTATGAAAAAATCATACTTTTTTCTCTGAATTATTGTCTAACGAAAAAGTCAATTATTTTGAGAAAAAAGAAAACTGAAAATATGGGAAATTCTTGTGTGTATGTGGAATCTCCGATTGTTCCTTAGTTTTGGTACCCTCTTAACAATATTGTTATAGGTGTCGGTCTTAGTATGACCTACTGGAGTGGGTATTTCAGTAAGTTGTAGTGTGATAAAACAATTTTTACACACCGCTGGCAGTTGGTGTAAGGTACACAATATTTAGCCATTCGTATTTATTCACAGCGGTTTCTAAGTTAAATAGCTTTTTTCTGCACACTCTGCTTAAGTCGAAAGAAGTAGAATAAAAAGAATTTTCTAAGTGACATTACAATCTGTAGGGTAAATGTAGAATA